GGAATGGAAGGGAGACAGAGAGAGAGGGGGGGTAGAGAGAGAAGGGTGGAGGGAAAGAGAGAGGACGGAGAGAGAAAGAGAAGAGGAAGAAGAAGAAGAAGATTTCTGTAATGTTAGCTTACTCTTGATCGTATTGGCTTGTTACGTCTTTCAGAATTGTTGTTCAGAAAGCAGAAAGTGAATAATGTGAAGTTTTGTGCTGCTTGCATCACTTTATTAGATAAGTATCAGTAAGTTGTCATTTTCTAAATGTAAATCATAAATAAACTTACGCTCTCTCTCCTCTTCAGATGAATCGTCACCGTGTGCAGACAGCGCAAGGGCGACCACAAACAAAAGTACAAGTTTCATCGTGTATATTAGCAATCCTCTATAGATATATATGCGCCTACAGTTTTAATTCCAGGTATAGAGTAATAAAGCCGTGGGAGCTGCTTTGTGCAAACTGGTGTCTCGTTAAAGTTTACACCTGAATATATATCGTTGGTGGACTGGCTATAATTAGAGATGACTCAGAGCGGAACGCTGGCCTATCACAGCTGTTGGGGATGTGTGAGCAACACGTATAGAAAGTTCTAAAACATAACTGGAAATGACATTATAATTGTTTTGTGGATGTTTTGCTTGGAGTCTATTAGTTACCAAAGATACGTATCGGTATTGCATTCCAAATTATAAAAATCTCCTTAGTGAGAACCCAGGGCACTGCCACACATTATTGGTCTCTTAAATTATACAGTAATCAGCGTCGAGAAATATAGATAACGATATCATTATCGTTTATCAGAAACCATCTGTCGCGCTACCTTGGTCGTATTGATCGTGCTGATTCTGTGAGTATGACGATAGTGTTTCTGACAAAGCTGTATTTTTTTATTTTTTTTTTACTCTGCCGTGCACTTTATGTAAAGTTCAAATGAATAAGAGGATATTAAGCTATTTTCTTGTCTCATCTCTTTTGTCTCCGCCTGAACAAACCTATCTTTGATTTTGAGCATTCGTATACTCACCCCCCCCC